CAAGTCATCAGAACTCAGAGCAAAATCAAAAATCTACTGACCATAGTTTAAAAAATTTATTTCTTGTTTCTAACACTTTTTAAGCAAGTCGGTAATAGTACCCGTTGCATGGACTGCTGTTTATCAGGGGGTCAGGTATTAGTACCCAATTTTATTTTTTTATTTGAAAAACCACAATCAAAAATATAATGATAGTTATAAATAATGTATTTTGTTTTAGAAAAATGCTTTGCTTTTAAACTTATTTGTATATTTTACATATTATATATTAACTTGTTATGTTTTATTTATTATTTTTTATTTATGTTTAATATTTTATTTAATATAAACAATATTTTAGATATATTATTTTAAATTTTTTTAAAATGTATATTTAGTTCAAAAAATAAAACTCTATTGATAAAATTACATTTATAATCCTTTTGTTTTTTAAACTTTTGTGGAAAAATCACTTATACTTTTCTAAAGTATGGTATTTAAATAAACAGTTTATAAAGAGGCACTTCGCAAAACTGGCACATGGCAGGTTAAACTTTTTTTCGTATGCATAGCACAAACACGGCATTGTCGTTGGGGTCTTACTTTTATGCCACCTGTAAAAATATTGACTATTTTACGTTTCTTTGCATCCTTTGACAATCTTCCTTTAGGATCAATTCTTCTGGATGTAGCTGATGCACTTGGTACAGAACAATTATCATTATCCAAGTAAATTCGCTTATCCATTCCTTTGCTATATCATGTAAAAAAACTTTGTACTTTTTTTTAAAATTTGTATTTATTATTTTAATAATTCTTAACACATAAAATAATGCACAATGTATATATACAATTTTTTACCAGTCACTCACAAGGTGACTAGTAAAAAATTGGATTTGCCATCTGTACCTATTTAGGGAGAACATAAAAGGGACTGCTGCTACATAGACTAAAAGTGCGGTTTGGGGCAATAACCATTTTTTCACTATTCTTTATTTCTTCCTTTTCCAAAAAAAACAGTATATATATATATATATATATATATATATATATATATATATATATATATATATATATATATACATATATATAATATATAATATATATATATATATATATATATATATATATATATATATATATATATATATATATATATATATATATATATATATATATATATATATATATATATTAATACAGTCAACTATCAATATCTTGAACACTAAGGGGACTGGGAGAAAAAAAAATTGAGAGTTTGAGATATCAAGAAAGGGGTTAAAAATAAGTAAAATTGTTCAACTTTTATTTAGAAACAAGCTATTTTTCTGACAAAAATTATTAACAACAAAAACTACAATTTTTGGAAAAAATCTGTTATATGATATTGCTTCAAATTATCTTTTTATCTTCATGAAATCTTCAAGTTTTAGTGTTAGGGATTGTATTTCATTTTCGTATTTTGAGCTGTATAGCGAAGCATTTGAAAGCATTTCAAAAGCATTTTTTAAATGAACATCAGATGGGCGTGGCGGGACTTCGACATTAATACCTTTGTCAAACTATTTTCTACTTCATTATTGTTTTTTTCAAAATCTGGGTCTAAAATCTGAGCAACGATTTCAGCATCAGTAACATGTAAACCTGTGGTTACTACATTGCAATCTAAACCAATGTTAGATTCCGCTAAGAGATCTTCTTAGACAACACTAGGATCTAATTCTCACTAATGATCAAGTTTTTCTCTTAAAGATTTAAAAAGGATGATCAACATCAGCTTCTGCAATAATCTTGTTTATTTTGCTGATACCAGCCTTATTAAAGCAATTGATGACTCTCCTTTGACACAGCACTCTATGAAGAAACAAGATCTTTCATTGCTTGAAGTATAAAATTTTTAGCAGAGGTTCGTTATTATCGACAGCCTTGATACACAAACACACAACTTTTTGACAATAGTGAGCTTTAAAACTTCGTATTACGCCTTAATCAATGGGCTGAAGGACAGATGTGGTGTTAGGAGGAAGAAATATCATATTGATGTTGCTTAGTCTTTTAATGCATGGATGGGCAGAATAGTTATCCATCAGGAGTGCTACTTTCCTGTCCTTAGCACAAAAAGAATCAAACTTCTTTATCCATTCTGTTAAAAGGTCTCCGGTCAACTTTTTAGCAGTTTATGCAGAGATATTTATACAGTTAATGCTTGGTAAGTCAAACACCAGTTAACTCGAACTTTTGTTATCTCAAACTGTTTCATTTGGTTCCTTGAAATTGTCTAACTGATTACTATTAATATTCTCTGGTTAAGTCAAACATCTGATAACTTGAACTTTGTTAAGTCGAACCATTTCATTGTCCCCTTTCTGCAAATTTCTTCAGAGAAATTGAACTTTCTGTATGGGAAATAATGAAATCAAAATAACTTGACTAAAATTTTTTTTTAAGAAGTCTCTCAATATAAAACATAAAATACTTTAAGGAAGACATTGTATTGCATTTTTTTGCTAAAGTTTTTTGAATATTATCTTTTAAGTATAAAGCGTGAATACTTGCTTTTTAAACTCAAAGGTTGTGAGTTTAAAAAGCAAGTAAACATGGCAAAAAGTTGAATACAAAAACTGTTAAAGTCAAATACAACGCACTGAAGGAAGTATTAGATGGCATCTCAAAGTCAAAGGTTGCTTTAAAATATAATATACAAAAGAAAACCTTACCTACCTGGTTGAGAAACAAGGAAAAGATTTTTGATGTTGTGAAGAAAGGAAACAACCCAAAACATCAGCGTATGAGGAAAGGGTCATTTGCAAATTTGGATCAAGCCATTTTCAAGTGGCTTCTGATTGTTCGTAGCAGAGATGTCACTGTCTCTGCTTTTATTCTCAAAACTAAAGCCATGGAATTTGCTGAAAGAATGAACGTTAAGATGGTTCAGATGGTTGGTTAGACTGTTGGAAAAAACGATACAACATATTATCTAAAACTGGTTTCTGATAAAGCTAATGTGTGTACAAGTGAAATGATAGCACCATGGGAAACCACGTTACCAACCATTTTATCAAAATATAAGTTGAACCAGATTAATGATGCTGATGAATTTCACTTGTTTTTTTGGCTCCAACCAAATAAATCTTTAAATTTTAAAAATAAAAAATGTGTCAAAGGGAAATACAGCAAATACGTCTTATAGGATTCGCATCCGCTAATTAGGCATTATCCAAATCCGCATTAAGGAAAAAATTGCCAATGTTTGTTATTGGCAAAGCTAAACCGCCCAGATGCTTAAAAAATGTAAAACATTTGCCCTGCCGTTATCGCAGTCAAAAGAAAAGTTGGATAGATGGCACACTATTCAAGGAATGGGTTCGTGAAATTGATAGGCAATTTACGAAGTAAGGACTAAGCTCATTCAATAATTGATAATCTTGAGTCAATAGAACTAATCTTTTTACCACCAAACACTACCTTGAAGCTCCAGCCGATGGACCAGGGCGTTATTAGGTCACTTAAAGCCCATTATAGAACACTATCTGTTCAAAAATTAATAGATGCAGTAGAAAAAAAAAGCCTCTTCCAGAATTTACTATTTTTTGATCGAACCAACTTGCCCTCAATCGGGTGATGTATGTCAAGCCCTGGAAATACTATGAAGCTACATGATATTCAGTGACAATGGGGAGTGTATTCATAAATGTATAAACCAAATAAACTTAATTGTGGAAAAAGAATTATCAGAGAAGCTTATACAATCAGATATACGTAGCTTCTTTAACTGAACATTTTTCACACTTTTTATCTATAATAGTGTATATTTAATGTTTATACTTTAGCATTAAGTAAATAAAAACCCCTTAAATCGAACTAATATCTCATTTCTGTCAAAGTTCGACTTAACAAGACTTCGCTTAAGTTGAACCATTTTTCTTGGTCTTTTGGAGGTTTGAGTTATCTCATTAAACTCATTGCCATTCAAAATGTTTTTAAGTTAGTAATTTAAAAGCAATGTTGGAAGCACAGTTTCATTCCATGTAGTCATATCATTTGCCACAGCGGCACTTTCCCCTGAGATTACTTTAAAGCTGATGCCGTTCCTAAAAATAGGAGCAGAATAATTGAATTTTAATTACAGGTTTGAAAAATTCATTTTTCAAACGTGTTCAATTTAAATATAAACAGATACACATGTTTGAAAAAACATGTGTATCTGTTTATAATTAAATTGAAAAGATTTGACAAAATTTAACTGACCTTTCTTTCCAATTATGAAATCAACAATCAGATGCTTTAAAATCCATCTCTGCGAATTTCAGTGCCTTTCTTTCAGTATGGTGCCATCAATTAATATTTCTTGACTTTAATGCAACGAACCACATAAATATGGTGTTAAACTTCAAAGTTTCTTTGAAGTTTAGATTTTTTTCCAGCAAGGTTAATAATTTGTTGTTATTTTTAAACCACATTGATACTGTGTTCCTTGTGACAACATACTTTTGGGCAACCTCTTTGTTAGACATTCCTTTCTCCAAGTCATTTAATGCCTTGCATTTTTCTATTATAAATTTTTTTGTAAGTTTTTGTTTAACAAGCAACATGTTATCGCGTTTAACAAAAACAATAAATTCATCTTCTAAAAGAATACTTTTCAAAAATTTGATTCATAAAAAAAATTGAATTTTACAAAATTTCATAGCAATATTTTAAAAAATTTGAATTTTTAATATATTAAATATTTTTAAAATATCTCTTGGAAAAAATTTGTTGAAAAGTTCAAGATAACCTGAGAAAATTGCCCAGTGGGTAATTTTTCAAATTTTAACCAAAAAAATTGTTTAAAATACCAAAAAGTTCAAGATATTGAGAGGATTTTAGTCTAAAAGAGTACATTATGTCCATAGGACCACAAAAAATGTTTGATATATCAAGAATTGACTGTATATGTATGTGCGTGTATATATATATATAAAAACATATAACAACAACATGCACAAGAATTTGAGAAATACACAAAAAATAATTCATACCTGCAACACAAGACATATTTATTTGTTCTTGTCTTTGCAGATTTGATACTATGTGACATTGTTCATTGATGTTGCTGTTGTTGTTCTGTTGTTGATTACAAAGTAACTGACTATTCAGGCCTTGCAAATCTCTTAATGGCTGAAAATAGATACTTTAAAATCTAAAATGGTCATTGTTGATTAAATACTTTTTTTTATTATAATTTTGTATTATTGTTTTTTATAATATAAAATATAATAAAAAAGCTAATAAATCTAATAAAAATAATATCTGCTAATAAAATATAATAATAATAATAATAATAATAATAATAATAATAATAACAATAATAGCTAATACAATATTGATAAAAAGAAAATTTTAAAGATACCTGAAGATCTGAAAGATTGAATGAAACAACTGTGTTTCCATCTAAAGTCATTACTTGACCAGGTTGAGAATCTGAAGAGTGTGTTAAAATAAGATGATCTGTATTCAACAAAGATCCAAGAGACATAACAGAAACATCTTCAACCTGAGATATTAAATTACAAAATAAGAAGTTTTACCTTTTTTTTTAGCTATATATTTTGCTATATAACTTAATAAATAAACATATTTTAAATAAAACAAAACAAAATAAGTTATAAAGTCATTAAATATAACAAATAACTTAATAACTTAAAAATAACTTAATTTGAGACTGCAAATTACAATTAGTCTAACATCAGTGCCATCCAAAATTTTTAGAAAAGGTGTTCAAATTACAGATCAATTAGTCTAACATCAGTACCATGCAAAATTTTTAGAAAAAGTGGTCAAGTTAGAAATTTCCTGAATGATAACAAGATTTCTAATCATCAACAAAGTTTGATCAAAAATAAATGTTGTTCGATGAATTTACAAGTAAGTATGGATTATATAACAAAAGTTGTGTCTGAGAAATCTTGGATTAATATCATGTTTATGGATTTTGTTAAGACATTTGATGTAGTATCCAAAACCACTGCTACACTGATGTGAATAATGCCCGGGTATTAAAGCATAAAAAAGTTGTTTGGTGCAAGTACTTACAAAACATGAGCTAGAAGATGTACCATTTAAGTAATGACAGAGTACTGACCATAAAACACTATCACTATCATTAACACTAAATATACTTAATGTTTTCTTATGCAACAGCGTCAACAACCTTACCATATATTCATATATTGTAAAAACACAAAGTAGATACTTGAAAAAACATTGTTAAAAAAACTCTGACCAAAAATAATGTTTACTTTTAAAAGATTTTACTGTATATTGTCAAAATGTTGTCTTGGAAGAGATTTAAAGTTATCAAGTATGCTTTACTTCATATACTTTATAAAGAAAACATGTCTCAAACAAAACTCTTTATGTCATCTTTTTAAAATGTTGATCATGGCACAGGGTTTGATTACAAAACATAAATAGATATATTATAGTAACCTACCTATGTACTTACGAGTTGTACTTAATTGCCCAAAATAGTTTATTTTTTTACTTTTTAGTCCATTTTTAAAATGTTGTTTTTAAAAAGTTTTTTAATATATATATTATTTATTATTCAACAGCAATTTTATTTACTAACAATGAACTAAAACTCTATAAGTTAGTTATTTATTATTTGTTTTAATAACTTTTCTTAACGATTTTTTTTTTTACGCTAAACTAAAATCTGTTTTGCATTGTTTATTTTAACTACTTTTTTTAGTAATTTTATTCTATCTTCTTTTTTAAATAATTATTTAAAATGTTTTTTGTATTTATTTTAATTGTTTTGTTAACAATTTAAAATAAAAGGTTCATAATTAGAGTTTTAACTGAACATTCGTTTTGCTGCTTTATTTTAACTTGCCATTAAAATAAAACAGCAAAAAACTGAAACAAAAAAAAAAAAAAAAAGTTTCCAACCTGTCAGGCAGTTAGTTCAACATGCCAACCCTATGCCGCAGGGGCTGATATATATATATATATATATATATATATATATATATATATATATATATATATATATATATATATATATATATATATATATATATATATATATATACAGGGATAAAACCAGAGCTGTTTTGGTACTGCTAGTACCAAAACAGCTCTGGTTTTAAAAACTTAAAAACTTTAAAAAATTTAATTTAAAAAATTAAATTTTTTAAAATTCATAGAAAATGTAACTTATTTATTAAACATGATTTTTATTCAATATTTTAAAATTATTCTTAATGATTAAAAAAATAAAATATATTTTTTTCAATAAAAAAAATATACAACATTTTCTTATTTTTAGATTTACCGTAATTATTTCTTCTTTAACTACCTTTAATTTAAAAGGTTCTTTAAAATCACTTTATAAATTATTAATCTTTAGTAAAACTTGAATCTGTATTCAAATCAATATTAAATTAAAATAATAGTAAATACACTTATTAAATTCTAATGCTTTTTTTTCGAATAGTTATTGTCTATATATTATTATATAGATATATATTATATATAGATTTCTAGACTATTATTATATACAGACAATAATCTAGTTTTTTTTCCAGCGAACATCAGTTCTTTGGAACTTGCTTCCTTCATCTTGTTATCCTGATTCATATAATTTGCAATCTTTAAAGGGACTACCAAGTCCCGAGACATGTTGTATTCATAATAAAGAGAATGTTAAAAAAAAACATTTGAGCAAATTTTTTTTTATTAAAGCAAATTTTTATTAATTAATAAATGTATACCAAGAAAAACAAATCTTGTTGTTTTAGTCGAAGTTCGTCTTCTCCAATTTCTGCGGTGTTTGGAGTCTGTAAAATAAACGCCATTTTCCAGGCGCATTATACAGACTTGATAACTTATTTAAGTCCGTTTAATTCATAGAAGTTTTAGTTCATGACGTCATTAGAAACATTCTAGAACTTCTTTAAAAATGTTACTATTAATTTTTACTAAAATAACTAACTATAGTTAGTTATTTTATTTTCTAAAATCTTCTCATTGAAAAAAACTTCATGTTTTTTTGTAGCTATCAGAGCTGTGGCTACATGGGTGCCGGTATGGGTGCCCCAAAAGGAAGTGCCCAAAAAATATTTTTATTTTTTAGTTTTTCATTTGCTTTTTTATAAAAAATTGAAATTTTTTAAATTGGTTTAAAATTCATAGAATTTTTCAATTCAATGAATTTTAAATATCTATATGGTATGGCGCCTGGAAAATGGCGTTTATTTTACAGGTATGGGCACCCATACCTGTAAAATAAACGCCATTTTCCAGGCGCATTATACAGACTTGATAACTTATTTAAGTCCGTTTAATTCATAGAAGTTTTAGTTCATGACGTCATTGGAAACATTCTAGAACTTCTTTAAAAATGTTACTATTAATTTTTACTAAAATAACTAACTATAGTTAGTTATTTTATTTTCTAAAATCTTCTCATTGAAAAAAACTTCATGTTTTTTTGTAGCTATCAGAGCTGTGGCTACATGGGCCACGGTGATGGTGGACATAGGGACCCCTATGGCGCCAAATCGAGTTATATAATATCTCCGATGATTCACGAGTGTGTTCTTTACATTTTGATGCAAGTTGTTTCTACAAACTAACAAACAATTAATTAAATTAATTAAAATCTAGCGAACAATTAATTAAACCAAGCACTAGGAAAAGATATAATAAATAAGAATATACTAATAAAATATACAATTTGTAATTAACTTTCAAAATTTTGACAATTTAAAAATATATTTTATTTTTATAAACAAATGATAATAGTTTGAAAGATTTACAGCTGTGCAGATGTGGCTCTGAGAATGAGCCATAATATTAAAGTAATAGTTTATTTGATAATATATTCTTAAAAAAATTTATGCTAGATATCTGATAATGCAACAAATCGTAAATAGTACAATTCCTAAAACATTTCAACAGAATACTCTAGAACTTTATTTCGCTTAGTCAGCGTATTTTTTGAACCAATAGAATTAGTTTGTTCTGAAATTTAGCGTGTTTTTAGTGTTCGCGAATACTCTTTTTATTTTTCCGCAAGATGTTTCAAGAACATTCAAGTTAATTATGTTTCCATGTATGTCCGTAAAATAAACTTAATATAATTTTTTAATTTTTAAGCCCCTGCCATAATATATATTGGATGTTATAATAATGGAATAAGATCACCTTAATACCAAAAAATACATTTTTGAAAATCAGAGAAAAATGCATTAATAATTTTTTTTAATATTTACTAAGTAAATTAGTAAAAGTACATTATTATTTAGGTTAAAAATTATTTTATCTAATACTTTGAAAGAAAACTTATAACAAAAGAAATCAAAATACATGTGGTCTAGAAGATTATTTAAAAAAATTTGCGCAAATAAAATACTATTTCATTTTTAATTTTTTTATAAACACATTTTAGAACTTTAAAATATAATAAAAATGGATATTTTTTGGAAATTGCGTGTAAAAAATAGTAATCAGTGTTTTAAACAAACAAAAAAATCTATGACATCATGTACTAAAACTTCTATGAATTAAACAGACTTGAATAAATTATCAAGTCTGTATAATGCTCCTAGAAAATGGCGTTTATTTTACAGACTCCAAATACCGCAGAAAATGGTGAAAAAAGAAGGTGAAGAAGAGCTTCAACTAAAACAACAAGATTTGTTTTTCTTAGTATACATTTATTAATTAGTTTCAATCAAAAAAAAATTGCTCAGACATTTAATTTTTAACATTCTCTTTAATATGAACACAACATGTCTCGGGACTTGGTAGTCCCTTTAAAGTTGTCTGTCAATCCTTTTCTTGCTCTATAAACTTTATCTTTTCTCTTCCAGTAACTTCCAACTCTAATAGTGGTTGCTTGCAGCCTTGTTGGAAATGAAGATATTAAAAAAAAAAATTTATAAAAATAAAAAAAGATGCTAAATTGGTATTTTTTTTAATAAACCATGTTAAATCCTCTTGTGATGGTATTTTGGGGACTGTTAAATAAGTAGTATGTCAAAAAGGTCTAAAAAAAAGTAACAACTACTAAGCAACAAGTACTGCTAAAAGAACTACATTAAATGTTAATTTAATATAGTTCTTTTTTAAAGTCAAGATAAATGAAACATGTTTTGAGTTTATGGATGACAACTGAAAAATAAAATTGGATTTAAAGTGACATATATCTTATATATATAATACATAAATTTAATTTAAAACAAAAAGGAAAAATGCTTCAGAATGAATTTTTATTTTTATAGAAAAATGGTAAAATAAAATCAAAATAAATATTAGAAATAGTGTGCATGATTTCAATTTAAACTACAGAGAGTTGATAAAAAGTTCACTTATGGATACTTTAAAATTGGCAAAGTACCTAAAAGTACTATCTATAAAATAATTAAATGCGCTGAGAATGAATATGGGTACCACTAAAGTTTAAAGAAGTGAGGAAACTAAAAAAAGAATAAATATTAGAAGACACAAATTCATGTTTGACCATAAAGATGAGGTTTCTCAGAAACAGGCTGCTCAAAAATTCAACTCTTTAATTTTTAAATCTGGGGATTATGTTAAGAAGTTGTCTTCTATTCAAACCTTAATTTCAAGACTATATAAATTCTAAACCAGTCACTAAAGAAATTTGTTTTTAAAAAAGTCTTTTAAAAATATTTTTAAATATGTTTTTCATAAGGAAATTTACGTTTTTAAAAATTCTGCTAAGTTTAAGAGTGCATACTATCATTAAGCATTAATAAAAAACTAATTTTTATTGGTATTATTTTCCATCAGGAATTTCAAGTGAAAGCCACTGTTTAACCTTCAAACCGAGTAAATATTTTTGAAAAAACTTGGATAAACGAGGCTCTCTTAAAAGTCTTGCTATTTTAAAAATTCATAATCAAAAATCTAATAGGTTCTAAATTTTAGGTAGGTCCAAACCATAATAAGATATTAAATATCAAAGTTGTTTTGTTTTCACCTCAGATTATCACTAAAATGCTGAACCAAAATTATTTTGATTGATCTAAAAAATAAAGTAAAATAAACCAATTCTGAATTGTATTTAATTATATTCCCCTTGGTTGGGGGTGGGTAGGGCAAATACAGTAAAACAAAAACAACAGCATCAGATATAATATTCAGATATAAATACTTATTATTTGACCAGGGCAAAAAGTTGACAATTAAAGACAATAGTCTACTGAGTCCAGTAATTTTATTATTAGTAATTTTTGCATAGTAATTGTATAAGTAATTTTAGCCATATTCTATATTACATAGCTCATAAAATCGGCATTTTAAATAATAAAATACAAACTATTTTACTATTAAAAATTATTTGAAATATATTTCAAATACAGAGTAAAAACAAAAAAAAAAAACATATTGGGAGATTTGTTATAATATAACTAAATGCAGATAATCAATTACCTTATATTGTTGTTGAGAATCTTCGATAAACCGCTCATTATAGCCAGTTAACTGAGAACTACAACTATTGGTAATTTGACGCTTTAGAGAGAAACTTCTATCAGCTTGAAAATCTAAGTCGGGAGAATCTTCTCGTTTTCGCTTTGCAGATGAACCAAGACAGGATAAAACCTAATTATATTGAAAATACAAATGTTTACTTTTTAACAAAATATTTTAAGTTAATAAAAATTAACAATTTATTAATTATATTCAATAATACATTTTGGTCAGTCGGATGCAATTGCATTATCATATGATCTTCAGTAAAACTTGTATCGCTGAATTCACTTTCTTTATCTTCTTGCTCAGTAGAAACGCTGGTATTTGTATTAAAATTGTTATGCATTCGAAGATGATATTGCAGGGTGGACTTCCGTGCAAATTCTTTTGAGCAGATGCTACATGAATAAGGCTTTTCCCCAGTGTGGGTTCGAAGATGTACATTTAAATGAGATCTATGATTAAACACTTTACCACAACTCTCACATTTGTAAGGGAATCCACCTAACATAAAATAATTTCAATAAGTTAATTCTTAAAATAGTTTTAACACTGTTTTATCGCTCATATGAGGAAAGCTAAATAACTTAAATTTAAAAAATAACTTAAATTTAAAAAATAATTTAAAAAAACCTTAAAAATTATATTTATTGTCTTTGTAAATTGACTTACATTTTACTTACTAGTAGTGTTGTTACAACTTTTAAATAATTTGACTGTACACTTAACTGACTAATATTATTTATAATGTAAAATCGACTGATACATTTTTGAAAACAATTAAGTCAACTATAAGTTGATCCAGTCAAAATGTGAGAAGTTTTTTTTCAAAAAATAATAATTAAGTAATTTCTTAAATCTTAATAAATACTAAACAAAATTATGCAACTCACAAAAAAATTTTTTTTTTAAACTTACATCTTTTATTAACTAATCAACAAAAAAATTAACTAAAATACATATGTACATATAAAATAAAATGAAAACTTGAATATCTTTCAAAATCATATGCGATAATCTAAAAAATCAATAGTCAGGTCACCAATCTAAGGTGGTATATTTTCAAAACCCTTTATTTGGACTGCAGTTGGAATAACTTAACCTATAAATTGGTGGAAAGGGTTGTGTTCCTTTACTGAACTATCAAAAGCTGCATCTAGAATTCTTCAGCTACCAGCTTCAAGTGCAGCATGTGAGAGAAGTTTCAGCATTTATTATAACATTCATAGTGCGAAAAGAAATTGCTTAACAACTCAAAGAGCTGGAAAACTAGTTTTCATTTTGCAAAATTTAAAACTTGAAAATATTGAAAAACACCAGTTATGAAAATGGTACAAGCATAACTACTCCTCAAATTAATAACTCGAGTGTAAATAAAGTTCCAAGCACTTCAATGCCTTGGTCAGAGCCTGAAGCAGTTAATATAGAAAGTGACAGTGACTTTGTTTATGAATCATTAGATGAAGATAGTCTAGGGCAGGAAGACTTGGACTCAGAAAACACATCCATTTAGAATACCTTTTATAGTTTAAATACATGTTAAAATTACTAAATTATTGGCTTTTATGCTTAAATTTTTATACTTTTTTTAATTGTATATATATTACACTACACAGTGCTACACTACTTTGCACTGGATTAATAACCAATTTAAACTAATAAAACATTATTCAAAAATATATTAGAATTTCATATAAATTAATTATAAAGCTTTTTTTATAAGGGCTTACTGGCAATATAATTCAACATATGTAACAAACAATGTAAGACTAATGTAAGTTTTTTATTAAAACATTAATTTTAAATTGGTGTTTATACATTGTATTTGTGGTTATAATGATCATATACTATAAATAAACAGAATAAAACAAAAACTCTTCCAAATTATTTACCAAAAAAAATAAAAAACTTGTTTAAAAAGTAAAAAAAAAACAAAAAAATATTAAAAAAACACATTTTCTTGAACCAAAAAAAACGTAAAGAGGAAAAAAATATGTTTTTTTGCGACTCTAGTTAGGTGTATGGTCATCATGATTGCCCTGTTTCTGGTAACATGTAACCCTATGCAACCTGTTCCATATCCTGCTGCCTTGAGAGATTCACTTTTTAAGCAAAGACTGGAAAAAGCTTACTTCCTGTCATCAATATTATCTAATTTCTGTCATTGTAATGTATACATACATACATACATATATATATTGGCTGGTTAACTTTAACTTAGATAAAACTCAATTTTTCAGCTAATCGTTATTGCAATAATCTAGATCTTCCTTTAACTCTTCCGATCATTTTTAGAAGCAAAATAAGGTTCTATCATTAGCCCTATACTTTTTTAATTCTAAAATATCTAAAGTGGCTCCATTTACTAAAGACTCAACTTTATACTTCTGTTTTAGCAAAAACTCTTTTCTTTTCGATTGCATAGAACAAGGTCCAAAAAGTCATTGTAAACGTAGTTGGATCTGCTATTACTGCCGAGCTTGAATCTCTCTCTCCCATCGTCATAAAAATTGCATCTTTCTCTTTACTACAAATACTACCATAATTGCTGCTCAAATGAGTTATCATCTTTAGTTCCATTAACAAAAACTCATTCACACTTGACTTGTCATTCAGCAAGTCTCACTCTTTTACTTTACCATTCCCTGCATGCTCTAAAAACTTTTAGTGATCTAGTTTTTTTCAAAGCACTTTAACCCTTTGGAACTAGTTTCCATCTTGATGCTTTCCTGACTCATACAACCCACAACTTTTTTGGCAACTGTTTTCTTGTTCTTTAACTCAATTCATTTTTTATATTAGCTCCAAACTTGCTAGTGGTTGCTTGCAGCCTTGTTGGGAGTGAATCAGAATTTTTTTTAAAAAATCAACCTTCTAAATTACAGAGGATCTAGTTCTTTTTGCAGTAGTGGTGTAGTAGTAAAGCGCTTGCTTGATAAGTAAGAAGTTCTGATTTCAATCCCTAACATATCCCTGGTAGTACCGCACTCAACCTATTTCTTTGTGCAGAAACCTTGTTTGCCAAGGCTGTTGTTTCTGATTTAAGAGTTGAGAGAGAGTTGTAACAACAATAAAGTAAAATATGTAAAAGCAAATTAAAAATTTTTATTTTTGTTTAAAAAAGGGAGACGGGTTTATTTTTAAAAGAATTCTTTTCACAAATGTATTTAAAAATTTTTGTTTTTTATTAATTTAATACCTTGTACAGGCTTGGTCGGGAAGCGGGAGCGATCGCTCTCGATTGCTGACCACGTAAATAATATTTAGTTGCGAAAAGCTGGCCAGATTGCTAGTCGTTTTGAGAACACTTTAAAAAGCAAAAAAAAAAAAACCGACGAAGATTAATTGGACGGATGAGAGACAATTACAAAAAAAATAAAAATGAGCGATGTTTTTTATATAAAGTAACAACTTACGATTGTTTAAAAGGGAAATAAATATTCTTTATTTAACTAAGTTTGCAAGTTTTAGTTTTACTTAAGCTAAATTATTTTATAAATAAAAAAGTTAATTTTTTTAATACCTATTTTATGTTTCGCGTAGTTTGAAAAGTTTAACATATTTGAAGCGATTCTTCTTAGTAAGATAAACAAATGAAATAATTAAATCATTGAATTACTATAGGAATTAAATAATCAAGATAGAAATCAACTAAAAAGGTTAAAAATACTTAATGACGAGGAAGCGACTCTGCTTCACAATGTCGCTGATGATGTTTAGTGAGTGGGCTTTTTAATTTTAATTAGTATTTAAAACAGAAAAAAGTATAACGAGTTTTAAGAATGGCAACTTAAGCGAAAATAATTAGAGTAAGTAAACCAATATCTAGAAACTTTTCTTTATATCTATTTATTTGCTATATATATTTGTGCTCTGTCGTGACCTCAGGCGCGATGCTTGTTCATCCGTGAGTTACTTTGTATGCGTTGTTTGTGTTTAGTAACCAAAAACTACTTATATGTTTGTTACATAATTAGTTTCATTAACTTTAACGATTATAACTTCATTGAAAACGCAATTATTTTTGTAAGTCTTTGTTTAAATCATAAAAATTGCTTTAAAAGATACATTACGATAAAAAACAAATACACAAAATTACATTTACATAAAGAATACAATCTCTTTTAAAATAAGAATATACTAATAAAATCTATGATTTATAATAAACTTTTAAAATTTTAACTGTTTAATCAATATATATTTAAAACATTTATTTTCGTAAAAAAATAATATATATTCTTAAAACAATGCTAGAAATCTCAAAACGTAACAAATCGTGTATAATACAATTTCTGAAACATTTTAACAAAATACTCTAGAACTTTACTTCCCTTAATCAGCGTATTTTTTGAACCAATAGAATTAGTTTGTTCGGGTTTTTAGTGTTCGCAAATATTCTTTTTATTCTTTCGCACAAAGATGTTTTAAGAACATTCAAGTTTTTTATGTTTCCATGTATGTCCGTAAAACAAAAATTTTTGTTTCGTACATAAACTTAAATGTTCTCAAAACGACTAAAAAACCTGGCCAGTTTTACGCAACTAAATATAATTTCCGTGGTCAGTATTCGAGAGCGATCGCTCTCGCTTCCCGACCAAGCCTGCTTGTAAAGTTATTTTGACTTTATTTATGAACATAAATTTTGATTATGCATATTTTATTGATAACTAAAACCTTTTCTATAAATTGTTTATAATCAATTAAAAATATTAGCTGTCCGGTCTGACCCATAAAATATGGGTCTTGGCAAGTCTATTCTACACTGACCATTTCTATACTTATTGCTTACTTCAATATTTTTTAGCGAGCCATAGAAAAACTATAAATAGTGTCTATCTTTTAAATATATAAATAAAAAAATAATTTACTACATAATTAACTTTAAGAAATATTTAATGCTTTGGTAGGTGTTGTATGAGCCTGTATTCTAAATAATATTTAAAATACCTGCTTAAAATGTGTTGATTAATTGCAAACGAAATAAAAAATTTTAAAAATATTTGGAATTAGACTTAAAAATATGTAGAACAATAAACTTACCATGACCTGTATAACACAGGTCATGGCAAGCGACAGGATTTGAATCTTGTGTTGTACTTTGGAAGAGCAGCAAGCTAACCACTATGGCCACTAAGGAGGAGGACTAATCTGCCAATTTTTTATCACTAAAAAATTTAAACACTTTATTAAACGAAAGACGAAACAACTTTATAATATGACAAAGAAATGCTATAAATTAAAATTAAAGAGATTTTGCCACAATGCAATTTTTAAATATAAGTAAAACTTTATATATATCTATAGAACGTCTAAAATGTTTTATTTTGTATATTAAAAAATAAAAAAAAATCTATAAAAAAAGAAAAAGAAAAATGGAAGTGCAAAGATTTGAACAATGGCATTTCACTTCAGAAGACTGAGACCTAGTTCGATTAATGCTTTAACACTATTTAATAAACAAAAGATTATAAAAAAAAAAAAAAAAAAATTTTAAATTGCATTGCTACCACAATGCAATTTTAAACAAAAAAGTAAAACTGTAAAACTTGATATATGTTTCATGATTACATAATTTGAAGTTTACATAAGTTAGATATCTACATAAACTTTTGTTCACATTTTCTTATACAAAGTGCTGTTACTCTTTCTTGCCATTAATTTGAGTGTAATATCTACTATGAGTTTTGCGCAAACACACACAAATGAGTAACGGCAGCAGCAGCGTTAAATTCAATATTAAAAGTTATAATAAAGAAACAAAAGAATATGTTAAGAATAAGTTTTTTTAAAGAAATAAACTATAAGAAAATATAATCTTTTTCTACTACACAGTATTTCAAAATACGCTACAACGCAATTTAACTTTAAACGATGTAAATACCAAAGCTGTGTTAAAGTTATATTTATTAGTGTTACAGGTTTTTGTTAGAAAATAAAATCTTATAACAAAGCCTGTTATATGTATATGTATATTGTCTTGTTAGGAGCCTAGTGTTGTTAATTCTTTAAATAAACTTTAACAAACATGAATGATAAAATGAATATGGTTTTCCCAAATTTTGTAGTCGTTGTTGTTGCTACAATAAAAAAGTCTCGGCCTTAGGAAGGTGAGTTACATTTTTTAAAAAATAACTATTTTTTAAATTTAATTCACCTCCCTAAGGTGGAGAGGGCCTCTGCAGTCAAGGAGGCTACACAAAACACGAACCTTGATAAACAAGGCTGCTGTGCATAGAAACAAGTTAAGGACGGTACTACCAAGGACATTGTGACAATTAAAATCAGAACTTCTTGCTTCTGAAGTGAGCGCACTACCACTAAACCATTACTGCATATAAGAATAATAACAAGATATCACATATTATCCTAAAGAATCAATTTCATTTTAATAGATAAAAATTAAGTATTTTGATTAAATATTATTAAAAATTGCATATATATTATATTCTTCAGGAGAAATAGTATATATATATATATATATATATATATATATATATATATATATATATATATATATATATATATATATATATATATATATATATATATATATATTATATAAAATAGTTGGAGTAGCCTCCTCCTGTATAACGTACAGCATTGTATTCATAGTCATCCTTGAAAAAGTAAATTCAAAATAAAAAAAACACTGCTTTGAAAGTATTTACAAAATTAATAGATGAAACTTGAACTTTAAAATAATTCTATATGGAATTTTCACAAGTAATACAAGGTGGTTTTGGTTATAATAGTTTTATAACCAAAACCATATATTATAATATATGCAGTTTTATTTGCATTAAATATTTTAATTACAAAAACAGTAAAAATAATAAGTAAATAAAATGTATATACCAGAATGCAATCTAGTATGATCTTTTAAAGAATTAAAACGTGTAAATGTTTTTTCACATTGATTGCACTTAAAAGGCTTATCTTCTTCATGAACTGGTAAATGAAGTTTTAAATCACTGACACGAGCAAACGATTTCTTACAAGTATTGCACTCAAATGGTTTTTCATCTAAAAAAAAAAAATTAAATTTAAATTGCATTAGAAAAGCAATACTAAGTTCTTTAAAAAAAAAACATACCTGAATGAACAACAGCATGTCTTTTTAAATTTTTGGCAGAAGCAAACTTTTTGTTGCATAAAAAACATTTGAAATTTTGAACACTGATTTGAGGGATTTCTGCCGATGTAGTAGGTGTGTCATTAGACTCTGATTGTGAACTTTGTAAAACTTTAGAAGCTTCATGACTGAGCTAAAAAAAAGTTTATCTTTTAACACGTACTTTTAGTACAATAACCAATATCAATCTATTTTTAATACTATTTTTTTGCTTCACTTATTTAGGCTAATTTCATTTTAATGGTGGTAAAAATCTTTTTTTCATAAATAACTGAAGTTTTTATTTTATTACTATTTAAATAAAAATATTAATTTATTAATATTTTTATTTAAATGTCTATTTCAATAATAATATCATATATAATAATTGCTGTACTTAACTAAGAATATTTTTTCTTATAACTGTACTTAGTCTCATAGTTTTTCTTTTTTTAAAATCTATTTATCTTCTATTAAATTTTTGCCACAAATTACAATCAATGAATGATCTATAGATATGAAATGACTTATTGGGTATTTGCGATTTTTTTTCTAAATAATTGAATTCTATTGATATTTAGCAAAAATCTTTAGTAAAAGTTTTATGTAATGTAATTTTTAAAATAGTGTTTTTATAAAACGATTGTTTTCTTAGTATTAAGTATTTAGTTTAAATAGTATCTGCGCAGGAGAGTTAATAACATTACTATTAACTAATTAACATTAACAGTTTTTAAAACCATTTTAATACAAAATGCGCAATGAGGTTTTGCCATTGACTTCAAAGGTAGAAGTTCTTATTTTATTATTATTTGAAAGGTAAGAACATTTTTTCATGTACTTCGTTGTTTTTTTATTCAATCTTTTTGTTAATTTTTTTAGTAGCTTTTCCCACCATTTGCAAAATCATTGCAATGAATAAACTATTTTAAAATAAGTTGAAAATTATTGATTGCGTGTTTGCAAATTTTTTCTCTATTAATCAAAGAATAAAACGAAACATTTGTAAATACATTTTTAGTAAAAACTTCATTTTATAGTAGCATTTCACAAAATGATTTCTTTTAGAACCAAGTATTAGGTTTCACAAAGAACTATTGCTAAAATAAAAATTTGAGCAAAAAAAAAAAAAAATTTGAGCATCAATTCCATGTGCTAGCTAGCTAATTTGACCACCCGCCTTCGATTTCTTATTTTCTACACTGACAATATATTGAACAATATGATTAACAATATGGCTAATATCTATGTAACCTGTTGAAATAAATCAAGATGTTCATTCAATATATTCATAAGAAAAGAAGATATTAGAGAATTTTAATCGATATTTTAAAGTATGAAGATTTTGCATTTAATTTAAAAGATTTGAATTGCAAAATAAGAAAATTTGAATAAAAATTAAGAATTTTTTTTAAAAAAAAAGGTTAACGCCTATGTATCCATGCTTGAGTGGTTTAGACAGATTTCTGTATGCCATTTTTTAAGTTAAAGGGTATTATGGAAGAATTGAAGCAATATTTTACAATCAGATGCCTTTCTTGGCATTAAGCAGCTTCGCAGACCAAAAAGAGTATTTTTAACATTATACTAACACTAAAAATATTATTATCACTGGTTTACAAGCTCCTACCTATTTAGGATTTACAAGAAAAAGTCAATAGTTCAATATTTTTTTAAATTGGGATTAAAAACCTATTAACTTTTGTGGTTAAGAATAAATACTTGACAGAAATTATTAATTTCAGGATAATGAATAAATCAAAACAAAAAAAGCAACAACAAAAAATTAAAACAAATTGGACTAATAAATCTACTAATATAAATAGTTAACCAAGATAATTTAAAGACTTAAACATACAAACATACTATATCAAAAGAGCATATTAAAAACAAAACTTTGTTACATGAAATAATAAACACAACTTAAATATTATTGATTGGAAAATTCGTTCTTCATGTTCTATCAACACTAGTGTCTTTTATTTGGATTTTGAATTTTTATACCATTTTTATTTAGCCTTGAATGAGAAGTTATCAGCATTTTGTTTAAACTCTATAACAGATGCTTTTAAAGAGGATGCTTTTTAAACTTTATTATTTCTTTAGTTTTAAAAGCAACCTTGATCTCTCTTTTTTTTTTTTGTCACTTTAACAAGAAACAGTACCCTTGGATTTTTTTTTTTTTAATGCTTATTTACCTCCTTATAGCCAAGAAGGTCATTACAGTCAAGGAAGCTACTTTAATTGTAGTTACAACCCTCTCTTAACTCTATAACTCTGAAACACGAACCTTGACAAACAAGGCTGCTACGTAAAGAAACATGTTGAGCGCTATTATACTACTATAAGAATAAGTAAAGATTGTCAAAAATAAAACATAATTAATATAAAATTCTGCTAATCAACAATTACATTATTTATAATGCAATTGTTGATTAGCAATTACATTATACTAAAAATATGTAGTCAATTTATTAAGTAAAAAACAAAACAATTGTGAAGCTGGAAAAGAAAAAAAAAAAGTGTGAACCTGAAAAAAAGAAGCTTTTATCAACTTTATTAACTTTGATATACTATAACAAGGATGGAATACTGTGCATAGAACACGGATCACAGTTAATTAAATATAAAAAGCCTTAAAAATACCATTAAATATATGTTTACATTTGTGTCAGCATACAGTGAAAAAATAAAATATTTGGCATATAAAAAAAATAACTTTAATGGTGAAACCACAGTTAAAGTAAAACCTTTCACTCTTTATCAAACCAAATATTATTTAAACATTTTAGTTAAAATTAAATATAAACTCCTCTTATTTTTTCATTAAAATAATTTTGTTTTACTTTTAAAGCAGTTCAAATCAGTTCAAAAATATAAAAGAAGTGTTTAAAAAAAATCTAATAAAAAAAATTAAAATATTCATATTTAATATTCTTATTTTAAACTTTAATTTTTTAATACATAAAAGGTTAGTTAAGTTATAAACACACACTCCTAGATTAATATAGTAACTCTTGAAATTACTAAAACTCAATAAGACCCATTTTCGCTAAATTCTTTATATAAATTAATCACATGATTCTAGAATACAATACTTAAAAATAGATTAGTGCAACTTCTGATTCTGAAGGACAGAGGCAAACTGTCCTTGGTTGTATTTGTAGTTATTTCTTGAAATAAAAAATATTCATATTTGTTTCTTGGTGCTTCTTACATTTTTTTAAATATAAAACTACCTTGTTTTTTTTCCGAATGGGGGTATATCTTTTAAGTTAATTTATGACAACATAATCTTTGTTAGGTTCATTCATTCATACAATATTTTATAAAGTAGCAGCCCAGATTCAAAAAAACAGGTCTTGATAAGTCTATTCAACACCCACTATTTATACACATACTCCTTACTTTAATACTTTTTAGGTAGAAAAATAATTATATATATATATATATATATATATATATATATATATATATATATATATATATATATATATATATATATATATATGTATATATATATGTATATATATATATGTATATATATATATATGTATATATATATATATGTGTGTATATATATATATATATATGTATATATATATATATATATATATATATATATATATATATATATATATATATATATATATATATATATATATATATATATATATATATATATATATAAGCAGTTTGGATGTTAGTTCTTGTTTAAATAATATTTAGAATTTTGTTGATTAATTACAATCAGTATAAAAAGTTTGAAAAACGTGAAAATAAACTTAAAAATATGTGGAATAATGGACTTACCATGAACCATCATATAACACAGGTAATTGTAAGTCTATTCCACACTATCCATTTCTTTACTTATTCTTTTTATAGTCGTTTTATTTCAATATTTTTTAGTAAGTAGTAGAAAATAAAAATCTTTAAAATCTTCATTTTGAATTAATATTCAATACATTATGACTTATTGTAAAACTGCAAACTTCTATATATTAAAAAAAAATTGGGATGGACTTATTATTTTTTATTAAGTTTCAGACCATAATTTTTTTTCCAGATAATCCTTATTAGGACCCTCATCTCGTTAATTAATTTTGAAGAAAATAAAGTTTAAATGTAAATTCTTTTTTCATATGATTAATTTCTTTAATATTTCTTTAATAAGTTAAACTAAGAAAAATTTAAATTAAAAAATGAATACAATGATGGCGATGATGTTAATACAATGATGTTAATACAATGATGACAATTATGGTGACAATGATAACAACAAAAGCAAAAAAGTTATTAGAATTTCAGACATAAAAGCATCCTATAAAAAAATCTATTTTTATTTTGATAATAAACTTAAAAAATATTTTAAATATTTAAAAAATTTTATGTTTCCCAACCATAACGAATGTTTAAATTTGTTCTTAAAAGCTTACAATTAAATTAAAACAAAAGCATTTATTTTGTATATTGATAAATTTTATTGAGTTTAACAATTTAATAAATTATTTAAAAAACAAATAATGTTAATTCTTTAATTTTTAATAGTTCAAATTTTTAAAATATGCTAAGGTAAAACCAACTGTTATAAATATTTAAATTGAAGTTTTTAAAGTAAAAATAAATTAATAATATAAATAAAGAATAAATATTAAAGTTTTTAAAATAAAAGATTTTTAAAAAGCTACATGAGCATTAATGAAATTACTTAAATGATGAAAAAAATATCTATACTGTCTTTTAGTTTACAAATAACAAAGTTGATTTATATGGCAATTACATTTTTTTAATTATTACTTTTACAGTTCTAAAAAATCTGATAAATATTTATTAAATTGTTGTTCTTTATTTTCTCATCTGAATTGGTTACAATCGACAATGTTTTATCTGTTCTCAAATAATTTTGCAGAGTGGATGTCTCAATTTTTGTTAAAATGAAATGAAAATTTTAAGTAATTACTTTAAAAATATGTTTGAACAATTTTATACTTTTTATTTAGGTAATAAAAGCAATGAGTTTCAAGCTTAAAAGTTTTTTAAATATTTTTTTTTTATATTGTAAAACAAAATTTAAATCTTAATTTGAAAAAACTGTTTCACAGGAAAATAACATGCAATTGAGCAAATTTTTTGCTATAAGTAAAAGTAAATAACTTATCTTGTATGATTATCTATTTTTCTAATTTTTTTATACAGTAAACTTCTGATAACTCGAACCTAGACTTTGGGAATGTTTGAGTATTCAAGTTTTTTTATGAAAAATTAGGCTCAACAGGATTTAAAAATTATTCGAGTTACTGGAAGTTCAAGTTATCAGGAATTACTATAGTTATCTTTTAATAACCTGGTTGAAACTTGTGTAACATTTTAAATGTATAGGTAAAACTCTTGTTTGAGTAAACAATTATAACAATTAGTATACAATTAAGTAGAGCAACAAACCATCTGTGAATTTTTAAAAAATACATGTTTAAATTTGTTAAAACTACTTTTTTTTTTTTTGGTTTATGCTTTTTGTAATTAATTTTATATTGCATATATATTATATTTATGTACATGTGTTAATCCATTATAGATTCTTTAACATTTTAACAGATTCTTAAACATATTTAACAAACATGTTTAAAAATCTTTTGAGTACTGATAAAATCAAATCTTTTACCTGATGAGATTTAAAGGCAGTTTGTTGAGCAAAAGTTTTCCCACAAACTTCACATGAAAATGGCTTCTCTCCTGTGTGAGTTCGTAAATGCTCTCTTAGACGGACTGGGCGAGTGAACTTTTTTTCACAAAACTCACATTTATATGGTTTCTCTCCACCATGAACAAACTTGTGTTTGACAAGATCAAATGATTGAATACATGAAAAATCACACTGATCGCATTTAAATCGCTTCTGGCCTTAAAACAAAATCTCTTTCAAAACTTCAAGTCAACTAATTATAAATGTTAACATTATTTTAAAATCAAACAAAAAAGATATGTGACCTGTGTGAATAAAATAATGTCTTTTTAAATCATCATTTCTGATAAATGATTTACTACACTGATCACATTTATAAGGTTTTGTCCCAGTGTGTCGAAACTCATGACGAGCTAACTCCGATGGCGTTTTAAAAGCTTTATCACATCCATCATTTAGACATCTATACGGCTTTTCATCTTGATGAACTCTTTGGTGAACTCTTTAATATAAATTATAGTATAAAAAACTTTATTTCAAATGGACTGAAATTTTTTTATAAATTATAATAAATATAATTATAAATGACAAATTTTATAAGTATGCATGTATAATGATAACTTACATGTGTAAATAATATTTATAATGAATAATATAAGATAATAATATTTATGTACACATATAAAATATCTATAAATTTACTCATAGATTTATAAATATATATTAATAAATATGAATATATTTATAAATATATATTTACAAATGTTTTTTTTAATCTTAAAATTACTTAGTTTTAAAGGAACTCCTCAGCATAATAAACATATAGTTTTTATCATATTTAATTTCTATAAAAATTGAATTTTTATACACAACTATTAGCAATTAATTAGCAGCTTTAAAACCATTAAAAAAATAATTCATTTCTTCATTTTTAGAAAAATAAAGACTAACATTTAGAGCAAGATTGATGTATAATTTTTTTGTATGTACATTATTTCTAAACAAGAGATTGAAAATACTAAAAACTAGATTTACATGAAAAACCTGTTAAAATCTTTTCTCTATAGCAAATTTAATTTTAAAAAGTTAAAACAAATTATATGAATTAATGCGGATAAATTTCCGTTAACCCAACATTAAAACTGTTTAAAACTATTGTTTTAAAGTAAATGATATGCAGCAATACCTTATGTCATAAGAAAAAAGATGATTGAATTACAGGTTAACATTTCTTCATCAATTTCTGAAGAAACGCTTATCTTCTTTTACGAGAAAGTAAAAACAACTTTAATACTATAATATAATATTATAATTTATATAATTAAAAAAATAATAACAATATAATTTGTATAATTAAATAAAAAGTTTTTTTTTATAACAAAAAGAAACATAATAAATTTAATGAACTTTTATAAGCTATAATACTTTAATAAACATATTTAATGCTTTTTAATTAGAAAAATACTACGAAAACAAACCAGATGGTTTTATTTTTCTAGGTTTTACAAAACAAATAAACAGTCATTTGCCTATATCTAGATAAATAGTTTTTATTTTTTTTAATTTAAATAATCAACTTTTTTTTTGTTTTTCTTTACACTTTTTTCAGTTTAACATTTGTTTATAATTGTTAGCTTTTAAATAGCATTAATTGTGCTTCCATTATTCTAACTCTTAAATAATTTTTTTTATAAGTTTGGCAACTTAGTGCCATAGTAATTATAGTACCACAACATTAAAATAAATTCTTATAAAACATTCTAGTGCACAAAACCTCACAATTAAAAATTTTTTTTTTAATGTTTAAAATTTGGTTACCTTAGCGCACTTCCAGTTGCAAAAACTTTGTCACAATTCAAATTTTCACACATAAATTTTCCATCAATATGTGTCAACTGATGGGTTCTTAAAGAAGTTGGATCACTAAACAATCTGTCACACAATGAACACATGTATTCTTTTTCACCTAAGAAACAAAAATTAAATTACTAACAACAACTTATTATATTGGTGTCAGTTTTTATAATCGAAATCACTATCAACTGATATAATCTCAATTAAAAATTGAATAAAGTGTTTACATAATTATTGTTATCTAGACATAAAACAAACCAACTTGATTTTAAATTCAATTTAAATAAGTTTAAAGTTATTTTTAAAAAATTTTAATCCTTCTCAATTTGCTTTTGTGCCTGTTTCTTATAATGGTAGAACTTTTTCTTTACTAATAGTAGTTATTTGGAACTTGAACAAAACTCTTATCTTCAGGTGGGTATATTTGATGTATTAGTATTGACTTTAAAAAATCATTTGATAAAACCTTATCTAGCTGTCCTCCTTGCAGCTAAAATATGAATTTAAATCATCTGACACTGTTTTCAGATGGATTAAATCGAATTTATTTTACTGTTTTTTAAAAGTCATTATTTTAATTGTCTCTCTGATTTCAGTCTAATGAAATAATACCACTAGTTGAGTTCCACAAGAGTCTGTGCATGGACCATTTCTCTTTGTCATGGTTTTCAATGGTATGTTGGTCCTTGAGCATGCATGTTAACAACATAAAACCTAATTTTATTTTTTTATTTCAGTTCACCTCGCTAAGGCCATGAAGGCCACTACAGTTGAGAAGGCTACTTTAATTGTGGTTACAACACTCTCTTAACTCTACAAATCCTTTCTTTGATTTTTGATTTCTCTTTTATATTTTGATACATGCGTATTTACTAACTTTTTATTTACTAAAAAAAAAAAAAAAAAAAAAATTTTTTAATAAACAGTTATAAGTTTTTTCATTTAAATTTTAATTGATTTCTCCTTAGAAAGTTCAAAGGTTTTACCAATAGTTGTTGCTGGCAATAAGTTAGAAACCCAACCTTAACTCTAACTCCTCGGTGTGACATTTCAAAATTTATGGAGGATTTATTTTAAAAACATTCATCAGGTACAATGTACCTGATGGATGAATTTAAAATGTTCTGGAATGCGCTATCCATATTACTGGAATCATCTTAATTTTTAAAATGCTTCTGATTTTTTTTGGCAGAGTATGGCAAAATAACTTTACAATGTTAGCGTAATTTAGTGTTATCCTTCTCACTCATCATAAATTCAAACCCACCATAGAAGTCTTCTTTGTCATCATTAGTTATGCTTGCGTTATTATCAGTGCTCTAATATTTATCATCGCCATTCACTTACACTGCTTTTCTTGTGATTACAGATTACTTTTAAGCTTTTATTAATAAAAGTTTACAATTTTTTGTACAAAACGTCTTGTACTCTCAGCTTAATGCCATTCACAATGCAAAGCTGTTGGCCACAATTGCTTAGACGCCCCATATTTTGCATTACGGAAGCTCCATCAGTAGTGATACAAACATCTATCATAACTCTAGCTAATCCAAAGCTCAAAAATTGATATGAATATTTACATTTAAATATCTGTGATTTTTTATTGAAGTCTACTCACCAAATATCAAACTGAATCACATCCCTTTCAACCAGAGATGAGTGAACTTGAATATGATCATCTCTCTGATTGTGCATATTTAACTACCATTTTTTGAATTGTCATTGATGAATTCGAAACAATAAACCCATAAGCTGCAAGCAATGTTCTAAATTTGCTGAAATAGCATTCTTTCAGCTGAACTTTCATTCATTCAGTGCAAGTAATCTGACAAACTGCAGGCAACGACTTTCTAAAAAATCTGTGATCAGGTTTGGTTTGAATTTTTTGGCCAATAGCAATGGAGCTAATGAAAACAAAGCCAACGACAACGCTGCATCTTGGGGCGATTTTATATTTAACAAGTCGATTTCATTTGTTCTTAAATGCATAAAGATTCCACTGGTATTGTCACCATGTATATTATTTTTATTGTGCTTCTTATTCCTCAATAAAACCTAATTTTAAATTACAAGCAAGTTTGATTTATATAAAAAAAACAGATTGAATGCTTAGCTACAGGGTGTCTGTCAATATTTTAAGAAGGATTTCCTTGATCTTTCACTGATTATTTACAAGTTTCCCTGATTTAATTTAAAGTTAAGAAAAGTCAACTTCAGAAAAAAATAGAGTTTGATTCTTTAATTGCAAATTTATAAATATTAATACAATACACATACAAAGTACCAAAAGAAGTTTACAGAACTGCCAAAAAAAATTTTGATATTACATGCAAATGGCAAATTAGGTGACCCGAATTAGGAAATCTGGAAATATTTATCATTAAAAACTGTAAAAACTGTTTTTATGACAAGGTCAAGTTATTATATTGCAAAAATTTATAAAAAAACTAAACAAGTTTACAACTGCAAAAATAATAACAATCAAAACTCGCATATTTTTATTTATTGTTTGTTTAAACACCACAAATTCATTTGTTATAGTTAAAAAAAAAAGTTAAAATAATAATTACTAAAGGTCCGAAAAATATGCATGGTAATTTTAAAATCAACCAATAAAAAATAATACTAAAGCTACTTGTGCATTGTCCAAAACATTTAAATCTGATATTTGTTAGGGGAATCTTTGAAGAACTATTTGTAAAAATTTTAATGTTTTAAATTAGACACTAATGAGTTTTGGTTTATCGTTATAGAGATAATAGCTTGTTTGAGCATTAACCATGATTGTATTTGTAGAAAAAAGAAAATGCAACCTTATAACAATGTGAAAGTGACACAAGCTTGACAGATGAAGCAGGTTTAATTACATTTACAATGTGCTTTAAGACTTTGTCTGAGAGTAAGAGGGTTATTATTTGTCAATATAGGAAAGCCAACAATATTGCAACATATTTTTGCAGTAAATAAATGAGTTTTGTTGTCTAACAAAAATTGTAGATTTTAAGTTCAGAATTTAAATCCATAAGCCACTGCAAGCCTTAGGCTGTTACAGAAGAGAGATTAGATTTAGCTGCTTGTTCTAAGCAATTAAAAAGTGAAGATGTTTTGTCAAGACAAAAGTATAAAGTTGAGTAATCAGCAAATAGAGCCACTTTAGATTTCATTAACATCTTTATTGTAGATATGAAATAATACAGGAGCAAATGTAGAATCTTGTGGTACCCTTAAAGTTACTTGAAATAAAGAAGAGGGTAGGCCTTTAAGAATAACTTTACTACTGCAGTTAAAAAAAAATAATTTAAGATCCTCAAAACCTTTACATAGAAACTTATAAGAAACTAATAACAGAGTGAAGAGTACTTGTAGGATACTTGGAGAGGTCAAAGTGTTTTCTAGAGTTAAAATTGGAACCACTTATTTAGCACTTTTTAAAAATTTAGCAAAAATTATAGAGAGAGTTATGGAGAACACTTTTTAAGACTATGATGGAAATCTTGTCTGAAGCGCAAACTGTAGAAGTGTTTGATTGAGAATTAGTTTTAGTATTGGAAGCCAGAATAATTTTGATGTTCAACAATGGGTTAATCTGTTTAACTATCAGGAAGAGTATGGCCGTTATTTTAGAGAGTCAAACTAAGATTTTTTTGTAACTCTGCTTTATTCTGGGGAAAATTAAAAAGATCAGACCCATGAATTAGAGATTAAAACTAACCAAAAGTCTCTAGAACCTAATATCTGAGATAAGATCCAAGACTTAGTAAACTGAGAATAACAGAGATTTACATCAGACAGGACTTTATTTATACGTTAGCTTATTGCAATAATAAAAAAGGACATTTGTTCTTGAAAGAGATGTTCTTATAAAAAAGATGAAAAAAGTTATTAATGTTGAAAAATGTGGAGTAGAATAAAGCTTGACTTAAAACTGAAGAGAAGTAATAAAAGCTTCCAAACTTTTATTCCAGAAGCAACAAAAGATTCCAAGATGCAATTTTTGCATACAAATTATGGATATAAACATATCTGTTTGCTATTTGTTTAGATGATAGCATACAATATCATTTCATTGTTATATAAAATTTAGTATTTATATGGTGTAGTATTTGTCGAAAGAGAAGATGATCAGATGGATGTGTGGTGTGGCTCTAGCAAGACAAGGAAAGGAGGCATAATCTTAGACAGATTAGAAAAACATTGTATCAAACAACGTTTGTTAGAAAAGGTTAAAGTAATTTAGGTATCAACATGTAGAGTGGTAGCAGCTTCAGTAGAAAATGGTTGTGGTAGAAGTAAGAAAATTTGAAGAGAGTGCCTTACATATTGCATAAATGAGCTTTAGTTAGGAATAAAAATGCTCTAGACTCTATGCTCTGTTTATATTAAAGAAACAGCTTAAAAGAGGATTAAAGCCTTATGATGATGATGATGATGTTGTTGTTGATAATAAAGATGATAATGATGATGACGATGATCATCATCATATTTGTCATCATCATCATCATCAAGCTTTCTGTTTTTATGTTGTTGATGATGATGACGATAATGATGATCATAATGATGATTATGATAATGATGATGGTGATGATAATAATAATTATGATGATCACGCTGATCATAATGATGTTTATATATGCATATATATATGTAATAACATGAATTTTAAATTAAAAAAATATACTTTAGGATATATAAATGTTTATGCAGCCCTGGTCACAAATTCGGCCCTGGCAATATTTTATCAAACCCGGTCCTGGCTATATTTTATCAAACCCGGTCCTGGCTATATTTTATCAAACCCAGTCCTGGCTATATTTTACCAAACCAAGCCCCGGTCAAATATCAACCCCGGTCGCTTACTATAAAGTATGTTAATAGAGTTTTTTTGTTTTATTTTAAAAAAACTACAAATGGTTTAAATTAGTTTCTGTATACTTTTAAACACTTTTGTCTTTAATTATATATGTCTAACTTTTCCAATACTCAACTTAATATCACTGATTATTCCCAGACATCTGAATCCCCTGACTTTTCCCTCATTTCCCTTATATAGCAGACATCCTGTGCTACCGAAAACTATATTCATGATTGCAACTGCAAAATAATCAAATTTTACAAATATAATTCATACTGTATAATTTACAAGTCATTACATTTACAGTAATTTAAATCAATAGGCTTACTTGTGTGCACTAAAAGATGCTGATTTAGGCTATCTAAATCAGAGAATATCTTTAAACAATAAGAGCAATTAAACTCTTTTAAGGTAACTGTATGATCTCGTAAATGGCTATAATATGACCAACTTCTCGAATAAACTTTACCACATATTTTGCATGTAAACTTTGGTTTACTTGCTAAATGAATAAATGAAAAATTTCAATTTATTTAAAAAAATGCCTTTAATAAAGCATTTCTTTGTACTAACAATGTGTGTGTGTGTGTGTGTGTGTGTGTGTGTGTGTGTGTGTGTGTGTGTGTGTGTGTGTGTATGATATATATATATATATATATATATATATATATATATATATATATATATATATATATATATATATATATATATATATTTGGGGAAAAAAAAAAAAAATTTATATATTTTTATTATACTTTAATACTTATTTACAAAAATGTAAAATTAATTGACTTAAAGTCAATTAATTTTACATAATAAAATTAAGTAAATAAAAAATAAGTCAATTAATTTTACATTTTTGAAAGATTTATTTTACAATAAAAAAAATTGTAATAACCATTTAAAATGAAAGAGTTCAGAGAAAAATATTACTAGATTTTTGTTTACAAAAGCCGTTACAAAAACGATTAGATAATTAGATAATTAATACCCAAAATCAAAATAAATAAAAATACCAGTTTAAAATACACAAACAAGTCTATAGTACAATTTGAAGTTTTTTTATGAAGCAAACACTTTTACAAATACCAAATTACACTTATTAATAGCAAAAATCTTAATAACCCATATAAAATTTCTCATTAAATAAACACTTTTTTCATTATACTAAAAAATTATTTAATTTTAATTGCCAATTTATTTTGATTTTGGTATATTGATTTATATGATCTATATTGGTTGGCAACTGAGTCATTTATTATTATTTCTCTGTTAAGTCTTTGAATTTTAATATTTACAGCAGTTTAATTTTTATTTCAAAGTAAAAATTTTGTTTTTTTGTATATAAATAATAAAATATTTATATATATACATAAATTGAAATTAAAAAATAATCCCTTAATAAAACCGTAAATTAAGTACAATTGTAAATAATTTTACTTTTACGACCTTTTAAGTAAAACAATCAAATAAATTTATACATAAGTATGTGACTTACATGGTGATAAAACAGAAAACCCAGGTGAAGATGACCTAACAGAGTGTTTATCAGTAACCACTAATGGTAATTGAAGACCATTATCATTCTCAATATTGAGCAAAGCATTCTCGTTGCATGCAGATGAACATGTTCCTGATTGAAGTTGCATGGGTCCATTGGGTGTAGGTATTGTAATACCAGCTAAAGGAATTTTCTTTCCCATCAAATGAATTGCATAAACAGGCTTTCCTTCAACCATGTCAAACTTAATAGAAGCTAGAGGTAAACTATGAGAATGTTTTTGGGCAGCATCATCAATAGAAGTCAATGATTTCTGAACAGTCTCTTTTCTATATTCTATACCTGATTCAACAAATCATCATATAAATTACAAAAATAAATTATAAAATAATAGAATAATAATAATATTAAAATTTAAACAATAATTAAAAATTATTTAGATACCATAAAAGTAGTATAACTCTATTCAAATATATATCATATTTTTATGTTTCATTAAATCTATGAAAAGACAAAAAAATGACTGAAAAATCTCAATAATTTAATTTTTTTTTGAGATGTTCTCAATATAAAGTTTTGAAACTCCTTATTTTAATACCAAGAATGGGATACTTTTGATAAGTTTTTTAAAAACTAACATCATGTCAACTCATCAGGAATCTTGGACAATCCCTGAAAGTAATTTTTTAATGTAATATTTACAAGTTTCTTTTTCTTATATACAAGATATTATAAAGTTAAATTTATTTTTTTTTTTTTCAAAAAAAAAACAATCCTATTTTGATTGATAACATTTTTACTTAGACTTGCTACACTAACATATTATAATATACAAATCAAGAACTAAAAGGCTGTATTTCCATTGTCTGTGCTTTAATATATTAAGTTTAAATAGTATCAAAAATCTTTTTGACCATTAAAAAATCAATGTTTATATAAAAACTCATTGTAAATTCAAATGTTTATAAGTAAAACACCTTTTAAATTATGGTATAAAAACCATTTAAAATCAATTAATACAATAGGTTCAAAAAGAACACAGAACTATCTAAGCAACCATCTATGTCAAAACTAGTAAGCAAGGTTGAAATTTGAGGAGGTTGAAATTTGAGGTTTGGTAAAAAATAGCCATGGCAAGGGCTGTGACTGGGGTTTTAAAATTCATGTTATACTTTATATATATATATATATATATATATATATATATATATATATATATATATATATATATATATATATATATATATATATATATATGTATATATATATATATATACATATATATATACATATATATATATATATATATATATATAATATATATATATATATATATATATATATATATATATATATATATATATATATATATATATATATATATATATATATATATATATATATATATATATATATATATATATATATATATATATATATAGGCCTTGTTTTATATAAAAAAGACTTAGGATAATAACTTTTTTAAACTACCGCAATAAAAATTCACTTTAATTTACCAATTAAGAAAAATAAATTTAGATGTGTTATTTTGTAAATATACATATTGTGGAATGTCTAGTTTCATTCATTTTGTTTTTTAATATTAAATAAATAAATTTATTATTACATTTTTTAATGTCATTTAACATAAATTAATTTCTTTCTTTTCTACATTTGTATAAATGAATTAAAATATGTTTTTGTTGTTTTTTTCATTATTTCTTAAAATTACGACTAAGCAAATAATGTTAATTTTTTACTTTTGAAAAGTTAAACAAAGATAAAAAATTTTACATACAAACAATATCACTTGTTGCAATATATATATATATATATATATATATATATATATATATATATATATATATATATATATATATATATATATATATATATATATATATATATATATATATATCATATATATATATATATATATATATATATATATATATATATATATATATATATATATATATATATATATATATATATATATATATATATATATATATATATATATATTGTTGAAAATATCACTTTCACTTGCCTAATGACAAAAAAGTTAAATTTATGTATATTTTTAGATGCAATATTTAGTAAACAACCGCGGCCTGGACCAGGTTTGATAAAATATAGCCTGGGCCGGGTTTGTGACTGGGGCTGCATAAACATTTATAAATCCTAAAGTATATTTTTTTAATTTAAAGCTCATGTTATTTTTGTATATATATGCAACATCATTATGATCAAAATGATCATCATAATCATCATTATTGTCATCATTAACATCACCATCGGCTTCTTATTCATCTTATTACTGTCTCCGTCCTTATTTAATAAATACTGGCGTAAATATATGCCAGAGCTTAATAAATAGTAAAATTATGTATAAAATTATAATGTATAAAGAATTTTTTCTAGCCCTGGCTATTAACCCCTGCCAGGGGTTGAAATAAGTGCCGAATATGGCCGCCCCTCAGACCATTTTTGAGACCTGCTAGATGAGGGCAACCAACCATTGTTCATTTTTACTGCAAAAATGAACAATGGTTTTTTACTGCAAAAATGAACAATGGTTTGTTGTCCTCATCTAGCAGGTCTCAAAAATGGTCTAAGGGGCAGCAATGTCCAGCACTTATTTTGACACCTGCCTGCTAAATCTTATAATTTTGCCAGAGCCTCATTCGCAAGCCTCATTTTTACACTAGGCCAGGGCCCCGGTCACTTACTAGCAGTATTATTACATGTTTACAAGGAATTATTAAAAAATTCTAAAAAAAGTCAACTCTTTATAAGATGTCACTTAAAGTTTGGAATAATAAATGTTTTTTCATTTTTTTGATAAAATCAATCATTATAATACTTTGTTATAATTTTGTTTTGTTTTTTATTTTATTTTTAAATTTTTTAATTCTTTTTTGTTATTATTTGTTATAAGAAATTGTCAAAATATTCTAAATATTTTTGCTCTTGCAAGACGATAAAGAAAAGTTCTTTTATTAAATATTTTTTATGATTTCTATTTTTCCGCGTCATATAACTTCTTTTTTCTTTTCTTTTGCTGAACATTTTTGATGAAAAAGTTATTTTAATAAAAATAATTTTGTTCTTTGTTTTTTTGTAACTTATTACATTTTTAAATAGCACTAATATCAAATGTAATTGTCATTCAAATGTTTTAATCAAACTTCATAATGATTTTTATATTGTTAATAAATTCTTTTATCTTACCACTTAAACAATATCTTTAGACTTGTTTAAATATTGAAAATTGATAAAAAGTGGCTTACGTTAAATGGCTTAATGCAAATGTAAATGGTGCGCCACTTTACGCTTTAAAGCAAGGCCTAATATATATATATATATATATATATATATATATATATATATATATATATATATATATATATATATATATATATATATATATATACACACATACATGTATATATATAGGTCTCAGCAGGAAGCGAAAGCTTTAGCTCTCGCTCTCATACACACAGGCTTGGTCAGGAAGCGGGTGCGATCACACTCAATAACTGACCTTGGAAATATTATTTAGTTGCGAAAAACCGGCCAGATTTTTTAGTCGTTTTGAGATCATTCAAGTTTATGTATGTTTCCTTGTTTGTCCGCAAAATGATAATTAAGTTTATTATTTTATCATAAATTTTAAAATATTTTGTTTTATGGACATACATGGAAACATACACAAACTCAAAAGTTCTCACACATCTTTGTGCGGAAAAATAAAAAAAGAATATTCCCAAACACAAAAAATCCGCCAAATCTATGAACAACTAATTTTATTGGTTCAAAAATAGTAACCGAAATTTCTAGAGTATTCCAAAAATACTAACCGAATGTTCTAGAGCATTCTGTTGAAATATTTTAAAAAATTCTATTATTTGAGTTTTGTTATGTTTTCGTTGAGATTTCAAGCATAAATTGTTTTAAGAAGATGTTATAAACAAACTATTATTTTAATTCTCGGAGCCACATCTACAAAGCTATAAATGTTTTAAACTAATATTATTTGTTTACAAAAATAAATGTTTTAAATTTATATTTTTTAACTTGTCAACATTTTGTAAACATAATATAGATTTTATTAGTATATTCTTATTTTTTATATAAAAGGGATGTATTTTTTATGTATGTAACGTATTTTTATGTATGTATTATTTATGCATGTAATTTTATGTATGTGTATTTTATTCAAATGTAATCTTTTAAAGCAATTTGTGTAATTCATTTTGTAAACAAAAGTACTTTAACAATAATAACTGCGTCTTCAATGAAATTATTAATAATCATTCAAGTTAATACAAATAATTTTAACCACTAATCCATTTTCCTCAGTGCACCGATAACTGATTACTTCCCCCAAGAAAGAAAAGTTTTTAAGTTCTTAGAAATTGGTTTACTAACTTCAATTATTTTTTGCTTCAGCCATTCTTACAAACTAGTTATACTTAAACACTAAGTTACTTTTTTTTAATTTACATACTAATTAAAATTATAAAGCCCACTCACTTAACATCATCAGCGGTGTTGTGAAGCAGTTCCACTTTTTCCTCACAAAGTAATTTAACGTTTTTGGTTAATTTCTAGTTGATTTCTTAGTTAATTTAATTTCTACAGTAACTCAATGATTTAAATAATTCATTTGTTCATCTTACTAAGAAGAATTTTTTCAAATGTATTAAACTTTTTAAACTACGCATAAGTAAAAAAACTTTTTTATTCATAAATAGATCTAGCGTTGGTTTTATTGGTTGAACCTTGTTGGACTTTTCAGCGCCGGGGGCCGCATTATTTTAATTTCCTTTTTTATGTGCCATAGCATAAAAATGACTAAAAAAAAATACCGAATGGTCCTTTTGACTATTTTGCGGCCCCTAACATTGTGAGTCCCGGGGCAATAACCCTTCTACCCCCCCTACCTCCTTAATCCAGCACTGGAAATAAGACATAAGTATATAAATAAAAATTATATATACTCTTTGATAAATTGAAGAACATTTGTTTCCTTATTAAACAATCATTAATAATAAGTTGTTACTTTATATAAAAAATTATAAAAGAGTGATGTTTCGAAAATATTTGCTCTAATCGTATTTATTTTGCTTAGTTTTTTCGCGTTAGAAGCAATTTTTCTTTTTTTAACTGTCTCTCATCGGTCCAGTTAATCTTACTACACTTTTTTGTTTGTTTTTGAAATGTTCTCAAAACGGCTAAAAAATCTGGCCAGTTTTTCACAACTAAATATTATTTCTAAGGTCAATTATCGAGTGCGATCGCACTTGCTTCCCGACCAAGCCTGTACACACTCTCCT